AGCTGTGCTGTCAGAGGTGTGGCCTAAGATGCTAATGAGCTGTGCTGTCAGAGGTGTGGCCTAAGATGCTAATAGGTTTCTGCTGTTGGGTGTGGCCTATTACGCCAATGAGTGCCTGCTGGACTTTTTCTACAAAAAAAGCCCTGCTGGTCTCCCGTCCAAGGACTGACCCTGCTTAGCTTCTGAGGTCTGACAAGAGCAGTCTAGCCGGGGCCATCCGGGGATAACGGACTTACGACAACTCTGCGGGGTTTCCCAAAGCAAGAGAGGCACACGGGAGGTTTGCCTTTGCCGGCCCCAGCGTAGCAGCCGTGGACTTCCTCCGGTGGTCTCCCACCCGAGTACTAACCGGGGCCGACCCTGCTTAGCTTCCACGATCCGACGAGTTCGGGCCAGCCGGGGCCATCCAGTTCAGGGTATGCATTCTGTGAAGAGGCTCCAAAGCCAGCCATGCCAATGAGCCCTGACCTTCTGCTAGCAGCAAGACACGCCCGTCCAGCACCGGGAAGGAAAGGGCCACCGGCCTGAAACTATTTACACTGCGATCTTGCCTGTGCTTGTTCAGCGATACGTTCTGTTGACCAGGGTGCCTATCCCTTTAGGGCTTCTGGTCATATCGGGACATCTGAGACAGGGGTGTGGTCAGGTTTGTTTCCCTCCTTCGGGGGAGCATTTAAATAACTCGGGGGGGGGCACTCCCCAAACCCCTGTGAGCCAACCAGCCCCGGGATCCCCCTTGACTCACCCAGGTGGGAGGAGCGGGTGCCGCTTTGCACGCAGGAGGACAAGAAAGGCCAATTCCCCACCTGCACACTCCGACCTGCTTTCCTGGTGACCTCTCTAGGGTTTTAGCCTCACTGGCCTTCCCTACTGTGGGGCCAAGATGGACAGGTCTCCCTGCCAAGGTGCCCCCCTGCTGCCAATGGCGGGGAGGCTCGGGAGGCTCTCAGTGGTGGCGGCGCTCTCCGCTAGGGTTCCCAGCCTCCAGGCGGGGCCTGGGGATCTCCCGCTTTTACAACTGATCCCCAGCTGACAGAGATCAGCTCCCCTGGAGAAAATGGCTGCCTTGGAGGGCGGGCTCTCTGGCATGGGACCATGCTGAGGCCCAGGGGTCATTTCCGGCAGGAGCGCACAGGAGCGGAGCTCCGGCAGTAAAGAGCCCAGGGGGCGGGCACATGCAACAACTTTTCAGCACCGAACGTCTACAACAAGTAGAGACGGCATTTCCGTTCTTAGCCTTCCGTTCAGTGTATCGATTACCATCTTGACTGACTGGCAGGCCTCACCTGGAGTCCTGTGTCCAATTTGGGGCACCACATTTTAGGAAGGATGTTGACAAGCTCGAGCGTGTCCAGAAGAGGGCAACCAGGATGGTGAGAGGGTTGGAGTCCAAGACTTACGAGGAAAGGCTGAAAGAGATGGGTCTGTTTAGCCTGGGAAAGAGAAGGCTTAGAGGGGACACGATTGCCATCTTCAAGTATCTGAAGGGCTGTCATGTAGAAGATGGAGCAGATCTATCCTCTCTTGCTCCAGATGGCAAGTCTAGATCTAATGGGTGGAAATTACAAGGGAGTCATTACCGGCTAAATATCAGGAGAAACATCCTAACTGTCAGAGTGGTTGAGCAGTGGAACAGTCTGCCTTGGGAAGTGGTGGGTGCTCCTTCGCTGGACGTTTTCAAGCGGAGACTGGATGACCCTCTTTCGGGTATGTTGTAGGGCTGTCTTCCGGCTCTGCTCCTGCAGAGTGCAGGGGGTTGGACTAGATGACCTGCAAGGTCCCTTCCAACTCCAACATTCTATGATTGTATGATTCTATGGCGTTCCATCACAAACACCTTGTGCAAGACTAACCACTTACTGCCAGGGAGGGAGACCCAGAGATCCTTGGCATGCACATAAAAGGACACAGTGCCACAGACGGAATCGGGAAGAAGGCGATTATTTCAATCACCTTGGACAATTACCATTGCTAACGAGCGGCGGTGCAGACACCGAGACACCACCACACCCATCTGCACTGGGAAAACTTAGAAAGGTTCCTTGAAGCTCAGTCTCTTCCTTGTCCTGGTGAAGACGAGAAACTGCTGGGAAGATCAAGGTGGGTTCCCGTGTGAGTCTGTCTGTAGCAGTAGGAAAGAGCAAGAGTCCAGTGGCCCCTTGTGGCAAGACAGGAACGTTTGAGAGTCACTGCTCACGTCTTCAGAAACAGCTGGAGCAAGGGTGTCAAACATGCAGCCCGGGGGCCAGATCAGGCCCCCGGAGGGCTTCCGTCAGGCCCGCAGAACTGGCTGTCTTGTGCTGTTACTTCCAGTTCTGCTGCTGCTGTGTCATTTTGTTTGCAGCTTACAGATACACACCTGAACGGCAGACTCAGGATTGCAACAGCACAGACATTTTGATGTAATAATTCAGAGCAAGAGGTGTCAGTGATCAGGCACTGTTAAATAAACAAAATATTGCCTTAAGCATATTTTTATTGTAAGTAAAAACACCCCAACCCTTGGTGTTTGTGTCCTTTATAAAGTTTATATCTCTGCTACTACCTGGCATGACAGTTTAAGACACACGTGGCCCGGCCCAACAAGGTCTAATTTATGTCAGATCTGGCCCTCATAACAAATGAGTTCGACGCCCCTGAGCTAGAATATGAGTCTATCTGTCCTTATAATTGGATGACATCTGAAATCTGTGAAATCATTCCAGTCTCCTAAATATAGGACAGATGGACTCACATTCTAGCTGTATCTGAAGAAGCAAGCCGTGACTCACAAAAGCTCATCCCCTGCCACAAATGTTGTTAGTCTTTAAGGTGCAAGAAATTGCAAGTAGGTAAATAGGTACCACTTTGGTGGGAAGGTAACAGCGTTCCGTGCGCCTTGGTGTTTAGTCATGCCGGCCACATGACCACGGAGACGTCTTCGGACAGCGCTGGCTCTTCGGCTTCGAAACGGAGATGAGCACCGCAACCCTAGAGTCGGACTCGACTGGCTTTCGAGCGAGGGAGCCTTTACGGTGCTACTGGACCCTCACTGTTTTCTACTGACACGTAGATTCTAAGTTTGCGCTTTCCTTTCATCCAATAAAAGCTCTGTGATGGATAGATCTTGGGCAGCGAATAGTTATTATGAATCATCTATTACCCAACAGACAAAAGGAGTAAAACCTTTTTGTAACTGTTAGGTTTGGGAGGGGGGCAGGCCCGGAGCTAACGTGGCCCCCCCCGGCGGGTTTTACGCGGGCCCCATCCTTCCCCTTCCCCCCCGTTGCTCCCCTCAGCCCAACAGCCGGCCCCTCGCCCGCCTGCCCCTCGGTATGCCAGCCGTACCACTCTTTCACTCCCGATTCCCCCTCCCCGGCGGGGGGGGGGCGGACTGCTGGATGGTCTCTCTGGGGAAGGCGGGGGGGGCCCCTCCTCCTCCTGGGTGTGCAGTTCTGCTGTCGGGCACCCCCCCCCCCAATGTCACTGTTTGGGGGTGGCACATGCCCTGAAAACCTACACCCAAAGTGGGGAAGAAAGTAGTAACACAATATGGAGGTGCACTGCAAACTATAAACATAACAGCACAAGAGACCAGTCAACTACCCTGTGACAATTTCACACCTTTCAGCAGAGGGATTGCTGGGAGAAGTGGACATGCTCTTTTTACTCACGCTCGCTGACACCTCTCTTGTACTACCCAAAGGAATCTCAGAGCGGCTTACAGTCTCCTTCCCCTTCCCCTCCCCACAACAGACACCCTGTGAGATAGGTGGGGCTGAGAGAGCTCTCTCGCCCTCTCTCTCTCTCTCTCTCTCTCTCAAGAGAGAGAGAGAGAGAGAGTACAGCTCTGAGAGAACTTGTGACTGGCCCAAAGTCACACCAGCAGCTGCGTGTGGAGGACTGGGGAATCAAACCCGGTTCTCGTAGATTAGAGTCCGTGCTCCTAACCACTACGCCGAAACAAGAAGAGCTGACAAGAAAAGCTAGAGCAACCTTCCATTACCAATTGAGAGTTTCTGGCCTGCTCCCAAGCCGAAGTTGCTGAGTAGGTTAGTCCGCTCTTGGAAGACTGGCGAGATTTGAATCCGGGCCCCACCCTTTGCGCCAGGGTCGCTCTGGAAGAAGGGAACTCCCGACAACGAAGAATACAAATCCAGGACAGTGATTTATTGCTTAGAAATACAAATGAGATGCTTCCCAAGGTGAGCCTCCCCCCTTCTAGTGTTTCGACAGTCAGTTCAAGTGCTCTTTTCCCCCCACGGCAGCTTCCATCGCTGCAGGATGAGTCTGGGTCCCTACTTAGAAGTCGTAGTGATCCCCTTCCTCGGCTGCGAAAGTGAACGTCTTGGTTTCTTCGTTTACGTCGGGATTAAGGTTCTCGTCGTCCTGTCATTCAAGGTGGGGTAAGAAGGAAGAAAAACAGATGAGGAAGTGATCTTAGGCACGTTATAGAATATTAGATTCATATTTAAAATGTGGGACGTGCTGCCTGGCCAATGCTCCCTCTCAGGGCTATTTTTGGGCAGGAACGCACAGGAACGGCGTTCCGGCTGGCTCCCAAGTTGGCCACGCCCAGCAGGAACTCATTAGCATAATAGGCCACACCCCACAGCAGAAACTCATTCGGATTGGCTACATTTTGGGTGTGTGGCCTAACATGCAAAGGAGTCCCTGCTACAAAAAAAGGCCCTGGGTTTGGACAACAAACGAGGTAAACAGAATAAGAAGCAAACGGTGGGTGTGGCTGGATGACCACACCTCTGGTAACATGGGGGTGTGGCCTAATATGACAATGAGCTGTGCTGTCATGGGTGTGGCCTAATAGGCTAATGAGTTCCTGCTGTTGGGTGTGGCCTATTATGCTAATGAGTTCCTGCTGGGCTTTTTCTACAAAAAGACCCCTGCTCCCTCTAAGCTGTAGAGTCTTGTGAGCAAAAATTCTACTTGGTGAGCGACTGGCATTAAAGTGGTGAGCCAGCGATTCGGCCGCTGCATCAATCAGTTTGCTCTGGAACCCATCCCTTCCCAAGCTGAGACAGAAATGTGTTGAGCCGGAGGCTAAAAAACTGTGAGCCAGCTCACACTAACTCAGCTTAAAGGGAACATTGTGCCTGACAACACAGCGATGGCCAGAGGCATAGATGGCTTTAAGAGGGGATTAGACAGATTCATGGAGGATAGGTTTATCATTGGCTACTAGCCACGGTGGCTGAGGGGAACCTCCACATTCAGAGGAACTAAGCCTCTGAATCCCGGAGCCAGGAGGCAACATCAGGGGAAGGCTTCGGCCTTATGATCCAGCGATCAACATCTTTTAGCCGTCCTCGGCCTAAAGGACATCTGATTGGCCCTGATCGGGGCTAGGGCTTTTTCGGCCCCGCCCCCTGCCCGGTGGAACAAGCTTACGCTTGAGATCAAGGCCCTGCGGGATCTGTTACAATTCCACAGGGCCTATAAAACGGAGCGGTTCCGCCGGGCTTTCGGGCGAGGCAATGGATATCCATATCCATCTTGGTTTCCCTTACTAGCAAGCAGGGGTCATTTCCTGCAGGAGCACACAGGAGCGGAGCTCCGGTAGTAAAGAGCTCAGGGGGTGGGCACATGCAACAAGCCCCGCCCCCCACTCCCAGCAGCCCTCAGTCAGAGCAAGAAGCAGCCAGGTAAGTTGCAGAGCTCCCCCTGGCCCAAAACAGTCCAGTGGAACCTTTAAGACCAAGTTTTATTCAGGTACAAGCTCTCCCTCCTCTGTGAGGACAGATCTATGCGTACCCCCCCCAATAGCTAGCAATCCAAAACAGTCCAGTGGAGCCTGAGCGGTGGGTGTTGCCTTCTGACACACTTCCGGTGATGTCAGGGGGTGTGGCATATGCAAATAGGTTATGCTAATTAGTTATGCTAATGAGCTCCTGCACCTCTTTTCCTGCTAGCAAGCACTGATTTTCACTCTAGCGAATTATCCAGCTGTGCTCCTCTGAGACGTTCCCATCCAAGCTCTATTATCGAGGCAAGCATGCTCCGGTTTGCTGCCGCAAACTTGATTTGGATGTTAATTTTATGGTTAGACTTCTATTTCTTGTTATGTTAGTCACGATTTTTGTGTGACTTTGTAACCCGCCCTGAACCAGCTTGCGGGGAGGGCGGGATAGAAATAAAAGTAATAAATAAATATGGCCGGTTGTTGTCTGGGCAGAGGAATTGGCTGGCCACTATGTGAGGCAGGATGCTGGACTGGATGGACCCTCCCTGGTCTGGCCCAGCAGGGCTCTTCTTATGTTCTTATGTTCTTATCAGGGGACGGTCTTGGCCTCTCTGTCCTGTTGTTGGCCCTCCAGAGGAACTAGTTGGCCTCTGTGTGAGACGGGATATGCTGGATCAGATGGACCTTCACTGGTCTGATCCAGCAGGGCTCTTCTTATGTTCTTATCAGGGGACGGTCTTGGCCTCTCTGTCCTGTTGTTGGCCCTCCAGAGGAACTAGTTGGCCTCTGTGTGAGACGGGATATGCTGGATCAGATGGACCTTCACTGGTCTGATCCAGCAGGGCTCTTCTTATGTTCTTATCAGGGGACGGTCTTGGCCTCTCTGTCCTGTTGTTGGCCCTCCAGAGGAACTAGTTGGCCTCTGTGTGAGACGGGATATGCTGGATCAGATGGACCTTCACTGGTCTGATCCAGCAGGGCTCTTCTTATGTTCTTATCAGGGGACGGTCTTGGCCTCTCTGTCCTGTTGTTGGCCCTCCAGAGGAACTAGTTGGCCTCTGTGTGAGACGGGATATGCTGGATCAGATGGACCTTCACTGGTCTGATCCAGCAGGGCTCCCCTGATGTTCTTATTCGGATTCTGGCCTGCCGTAGCTCAGCTAAGTCGCTTTGCGATTCTCCAGCCTCCTTCACAGAATTACAATTCCCAGAATCCCCAGGGAAAGGAAGCCATGATTAAACTAATCTGGTATCGCCTAGGTTGTCCGTGCTTTGCAGCCATCCAGCCACTTAGTATGTCGCTCAGAATGATGCACCCGAAGAGGGTATGGAGATCAGATGCCGGCAGCTACTTACGTCACCAGAGAAATACTTCTCTATGAGATTTAAAGCGGACTGGTAGACGGCGTTGTTCTCGTGCGTCTGGAGCGCCTCGATCTTCTCCAAGCCACCGAGCTCTTCCACGAGGACACACAGTTTCTCTGTCTCGCCCAGCTTCTCAGCAGACTGATGTGGGGAGAAAGGAGCGGCACGGCTGTTAAGGAGTGTAACTCAGGGGACAAAGGAGCGGCACGGCTCTGACGGCATATTGTAACATATGTAGACAGGATGACAGCCAGGTATGTTTGTATTAGATCATACTGATCTGGGTGACAGGTATGACTGTCATGTGACAGTGTCACCAGGTACTGATTGCACAGGGTTGCATTCAGCTCAATTAACTATCACCATGAGTCGGCATAAGACTCTGATTGGTGCATGGTTTGTATATAAGGAATGCAGTCCAGGAGTCAGTGTTCACACCTGTGAATGTATTGCCTGCGAAGCACCTTGTCGGACGACTCTATGATATTGGAGACCGCATGGTGGTATGGACTGTATGTAAATATCTGTAAAATAAACCACTGTATATAGTTTCACTAAAGCAACCTGAAACTCTTATTATTCGGACGCTTCATGCACGCCGTCAGGCTCACCTTCATGTCCATGACTTTGGCGGAGAATCGGCACCCTGGCCTAGAAATTCGACTGGCAACTTAATGTCCGGATGAGTTGACTTCAGTCAAAGTTCTTTGCATCGATCCCCATGGTCAATGCATTATGGAGATGCACAAGGTATGCGTCTGGTTGCCAGGTCCCCTCGTCGCACCGTTAGGGAGATTGGGGGGAGCCTCCCAGGACGTCTCCGGTGCGATGACGTCACCTGGAAATGACATCATCACGTTGGGGACACTGCACGGTGATGCTCTGGTCTGAGGGCAAAACTCTATGGTCAAACTGGCTTCAAGCCACAGAGTTTTGCCCTCAAACCAGAGCACCACCGCGTGATGCCCCGATGTGATGATGTCACTTCTGGGTGACGTGATTGTGTTGTGGACGTCGCACAGCCCCGAAAACTGGGGGAACCCTTGCTGCGACCTGGGGACTGGCCACCCGAGGTATACAGGAGAGTGAATGTTACAAGACTGTGGTCACCACTTAAGCATAATAATCAGTTATGACCAGAGGTCATTTCCTGCCGGAGCGCACAGGAGCGGAGCTCCGGCAGTAAAGAGCCCAGGGGGTGGGGACATGAAACAAGCCCCGCCCCCTGCTCCCAGCAGCCCCGGCCATGAGGAGCAAGAAGCAGCCAGGTAAGTTGCAGTGGGTGTTGCCTTCTGACACACATCCGGTGATGACAGGGGGTGTGGCCTATGCAAGTAAGTTATGCTAATGAGTTATGCTAATGAGGCCCTGCACCTCTTTTCCTACAAAATGACCCCTGGTTATGACTTATATTGAGCTCTTGGCCTATCAAAGGCAGTGCCGGGCATTGAACAGGAGGGTGGCGGGGGCAGTGTCCCAGGAGGAAAAAAACACCGAAGGAAAACAAAGTCTTGGCTACTTACCAGACGTTCTGACCATAGAGATGCTAGCAATTCCTAGAGCTACCCTTGTCACATCCAAGTAGCTCCAGGAATCAAAGGGAAGTCTATGGTCAGAACTTCCTGTATGTAGCCAAGGCCCTGTTGGCATATTGTATTATATGTATGCAAGATGACAGCCAATGATGCACACATGTTAGATTAAACTGATCTGGGTGACAGGTAAGACTGTCATGTGACAGGGTCACCAGATGCAAGTTGCACTAGGTTGCATCAGCTAATTAACTATGTCACCATGAGTTGGCAAAATGACTCTGATTGGTGCAAGTACTGTATATATGTAATGTAGTCCAGAGGCAAGTGTTCCACACCAGTGGAAGAGTGTATTGCGAAGCACCTTGTCGGTCAGTTCTATGAACCTGGGATACCGCATGGTGGAAAGGACTGTGTAAATAACTGTAAATAAAAGCCACTGTATATAGCTCAGATACAGCATCCTGATATCATTATTATTCAGACGTTCTGCGCATGCCGTCAGGCCCATATTTTTCTTTGTAATTTTTCTCCCCAAGATGAATGCACCCTTTGGCCCCAGTTTCCACACGCTGATCGGCTGAGCATTGGCAGGCAAGGGCCTCCCGCCATAAGCGGGCAAATGGGAGCCCCTAAGGGTCAGTTTTGTCAATTCCAGAAGCAGCTCTCAGGTAGAGAGCCCGTCACCTGGTCCTTTTAACTGGAGGCAGCAGGGATTGAATCTGGGATGTCCTGCATGCAAGGCAGATACTCCACCACTGACCCAAGGGAGAGCTAGGCCTTGAAAAATCCTGGCACTGAGTTTCCTATGGACAAATTCAGTTGAGAGCCAAACGCATTCCTCTCATGGCCCCCATACATAAGTGAACCAGCCTGTACGAGATTCCAGTTCAAATCCATGGCCAACCTGGTGGAACTCTCTGCTGAATAATATCCATGCCCTTGCAGGACCCTGATGCAGTTCTGCAGGGCCTGTAAGGTAGAGATGCTCCGCCAGGCATTTGGCAGAGGACAGCCATGCTCTCATCTTCCTGGCACTCCCACCCCCCACTTCCCCGTGAAGCCGTGGCGCGAGTAGGCCTTCTAGTGCCATCCTTAGGTTACCTACTGTATTGCTGATTTTATTTGGTTTTATTTATGATGCACTTTTAATGATGTATTCATTTCTTGTGTTGTACTCCACCCCAAGCCCTGTTCTTTGGGGGCGGTGGTTTAAAATAGAATCCAATAAATAAATAAATAATAAATGTCCCTTATTTATAGGAAGCTGAAACTGACGCTCCGTGTTCTCAGAGGGGGGCTTGAAGCATCCTGGAATACTGCGTAAGGAAAGAAGGAGGAAGGGGAAGAGGGGGGGAAGGGGAAGAGGGGGGGAGGGGGAAGAGGAAGAGGGGGAAGAGGAAGAGGGGGAGGAAGGAGAGGAAGAAGAGGAGGAGGAAGAGGAGGAGGAAGAGGAGGAAGAAGAGGAGATTGGATTTATACCCCGCCTTTCACTACCCAAAGGTGTTTCAGAGCGGCTGACAAACTCCTTCCCCCTCCCCTCCACACAACAGACACCCTGGGAGGTCGGTGGGGCTGAGAGAGCTCTGACAGAGACTCCTCTTTTTCAAGAACAGCTCTTATCAGAACTACGGCTTGCCCAAGGTCATCCAGCAGGTGCAAGTGGAGGAGTGGGGAATCAAATCCGGTTCTCCCAGAATAGAGTCCATGCACTTAACCACTACACTAAACTGGAGAGAGGCAAATCATTGGAAGCAGAGAGAGAAAATTCTTACCAAGAAGATGTTGGAGAGGCTATCGAGGATCACTTGGACGGTTTTCCCATCCTTGACCGTCAACAAGTTGAGCAAGGGCAGGAGGGTCCCGACTTGGACCAGATCGACGATCTGCTCCACAGTGCCTCCGGTGGTGAAGTTGGCCACTGCCCAAATAGCCTCTTTTTGGGCCTTGAAGTCTCCCTGCAGATGGGGAGTGAAAAGTCAGCAAAAAACAGAGGGGGGGGGGAACAGCATCAGATCTGTAGCCTATTCCAGTTGCACACCATACCAACAAATAGCCGCTTAACCAAGTAGACGTTAAGTCCCTTTGGAAATCAGACCCGTTTTCTTCTTGTGTGTAATTATAACATTGGTTCTCATTTTGGCATTCTTGGGAAAGCTTGCAGGGGACCCAGAACCGTTTGGTAGTTCCGGGTCCCCGGGAGGTAAAATTTGCGGCGACCAGGGCTAGATCCTTTTCGGTGGCGGCCCCTACCTGGTGGAATGAGCTCCCGGAGGAGATCAGGGCCCTGCGGGACCTTATGCAGTTCCGCAGGGCCTGCAAGACGGAGCTCTTCCACCAGGCTTTCACGTAGGAGCCGCCGCTGCCACCACCACCAACGGTGGTAATGCCAACTGGATTCGGATCACCATGGGAAGTACAGCCTACCCTATGTGACATCAACACCTACTGGATAGTGGCACCTCAACGGGGCCGAATGAAGATCGAAGACACCATAATTACCATTACCAAGGACCATCTTGCGGTGAAGCACTTATTTATTACTATTGTTATGTATAATTGCTGCTATGATTTTACTGTTTTATGGATTTTATGTATGGGCTGTTGCCCTCTGTAAGCCGCCCTGAGCCCGCTTGTGGGGAGGGCGGGGTAAAAATACCTAAAAGATTTTTTTTTTTAGAATGGGTGCTAAAACCCCTGCCGGGGGGGGGGGGAGCAGCCTCCACTGGCCACCTCAGCATTCATTAGCTGCCTTTCTGCTTGCCATAGGGAGCTCTTACAATATAGATAACACACAGAATAAAACTTATTTAAAAAAATAAAATTTAAAACCACAGTTTAGGTCTGCCAGTAAGTAAATCAAATGCGGCCCTAACTAAAAACATCTTCAACTGCCTCCTAAGAGTTGAAAGCAAGCGGGCAAGACACACCTCCCCAGGGAGACTGTTCCATAATCAGGGGGCCACCACCAAAAAGGCCCTCACTCGGGTACCCACCAACTCAGCTTCTTTGAGAAACACGACACTCTGTCTGGGGCAGTGATGCTGTGTATTCTTGGTGCTTGTGGGGGGGGGACAGCGGGAGGGCTTCTGGAGTTCTGGCCCCGCTGGTGGACCTCCTGAGGGCACGTGGGTTTTGGCCACTGTGTGACACAGAGTATTGGACTGGATGGGCCATTGGCCTGATCCAACATGGCTTCTATTATGTCTGTGTGGGGCAGTGATTGTCTTCTTGGTGCTTGGGGGGGATAACAGTGGGAAGGCTTCTGGAGTTCTGGCCCTGCTGGTTGACCTCCTGGTTGACCTGGGTTTTGGCCACTGTTTGACACAGAGTGTTGGACTGGATGGGCCATTGGCTTGATCCAACATGGCTTCTCTTATGTCTGTGTGGGGCAGTGATGGTTTCCTTGGTGATTTGGGGGTAACGGTGGGAAGGCTTCTGGAGTTCTGGTCCCACTGGTGGACCTCCTGAGGGCACCTGGGTTTTGGCCACTGTTTGAAACACAGAGTGTTGGACTGGGTGGGCCATTGGCCTGATCCAACATGGCTTCCCTTATGTCTGTGTGGGGCAGTGATTGTCTTCTTGGTGCTTGGGGGGGGTAAAGGTGGGAGGGCTTCTAATGTCCTGGCCCCACTGCTGGACCTCCTGAGGGCACCTGGTATTTCTGGCCACTGTGTGACACAGAGTGTTGGACTGGATGGGCCATTGGACTGATCCAACATGGCTTCCCTTATGTTCTTATGGACAGCCAGGAGGGCCTCTCCCTGTGATCTTGATTCCTGGGCAGAACATACGAGAGGAACGCATGCCTCATTTAAGGGACAGAAGCACTGATCTTACGGAGACAATGAAACCGGTGCCGAAGAAGCATGTTCTGTAGCTTTCCCATAATGCCCATGACGTCAGCCACGCCGAGGAGATTTGGTCACCCCAAGCGAGATCCACCCATCCCTTCCTGAGCCTGCTTCACAGCTACCCAGGCATAACCCATGCTGTCGATGGGTGGGAGAGGGCCAAGCGCCCGAGTGCTCTCGGTCCCCTCAACAGCCTCCCGAGCACCTCCGTGCATTACCTTTTCCAGAAGCTCCACCAGGGGATGCAGGAGCCCGCAGGTGATAATCTGCTGGATCTGCGAGCAGGGCCCCGCTGCAATGTTGCTGAGTGCCCACGCCGCCTCCTTCTGGATGGAGGACTTGGGGTGCCGCAGGAGCCGGGGGAGGATGGCCAACAGGCCCGCGTCGATGGCCAGCTGCGTCTGCTCGTCCGTCCCGGTGACGATGTTGCCAACAGCACGCAGAGCTGGAGTCTAAGGCAGAGATGCGTTAAGGAGGGTGGGCAGGGGACACAGAGCGTAAGAGAAGCCATGTTGGATCAGGCCAATGGCCTGTCTAGTCCAACACTCTGTGTCACACGGTGGTCCAAACCCAGGTGCCCTCAGGAGGTCCACCAGTGGGGCCAGAACTCCAGACGCCCTCCCAATGTCACCCCAGCAAGCACCAGAAATACAGAGCATCACTGCCCCAGATATAAGAACATAAGAGAAGCCACGTCAGATCAGACCAGTGGCCCATCCAGTCCAGCACACTGTGTCACACAGTGGCCAAAACCCAGGGGCCATCAGGAGGTCCACCAGCGGGGCCAGAACTCCGGAAGCCCTCCCAATGTCACCCTCGCAAGCACCAGAAATACAGAGCCTCACTGCCCCAGATATACGAACATAAGAGAAGCCATGTTGGATCAGGCCAATGGCCTGTCTAGTCCAACACTCTGTGTCACACGGTGATCCAAACCCAGGTACCATCAGGAGGTCCAGCAGCGGGGCCAGAACTCCAGAAGCCCTCCCAATGCCACCCATGCAGGCACCAAGAATACAGAATATCACTGCCCCAGGCATGAGAGAAGCCATGTTGGATCAGGCCAGTGGCCCATCCAGGCCAACACTCTGTGTCCCACAGTGGCCAAAACCCAGGGGCCATCAGGAGGTCCACCAGCGGGGCCAGAACTCCATAAGCCCTCCCAATGTCACCCCCGCAAGCACCAGAAATACAGAGCCTCACTGCCCCAGATATAAAAACATAAGAGAAGCCATGTTGGATCAGGCCAATGGCCCATCCAGGCCAACACTCTGTGTCCCACAGTGGCCAAAACCCAGGGGCCATCAGGAGGTCCACCAGCGGGGCCAGAACTCCAGAAGCCCTCCCACCGTTACCCTCCAAGCACCAGGAATACAGAGCGACACTGCCCCAGACACAGTCTTCCAGCTATACCTTGTGGCTAATAGCCACTGACGGACCTCTGCTCCATATGTTTACCCTTCCCTCTCAGAGAAACATATGGAGGGTGACAAAGGATATGGGCATATCCCAAACCACAACCCAAAGATGTGCAACATGTTTATGCATGTAGCAAGTGAGCAAAGGCAATTCACAGAGTCTCTTCTGAATTTTAGGGGTGAAGGTCATAAGAGATGGCATAGTCTGTTAGAATTATATAGCTTTTTCTCCCACAGAACTAGGTCGACTTGGATCTGTCCTTGATTTTTGATTAATGGGCAGTTTTCTTCACTAGGAAGGACTGTTCGTAGGGCGGCTCAGAGTTTAAGTTCGAGACCCGAGTGCCGTGTAATAGATTGAGCTCCCGTCTCTGGTCCCAGCTCCTGCCAACCTAGTTGGAAAGCAAGAAATTGCAAGTAGGTAAATAGGTACTGCTTCAGTGGGAAGGTAACAGCATTCCATGAGCCTTGGCGTTTACTCATGCTGGCTACATGACCACGGAAACGTCTTCGGACAGCGCTGGCTCTTTGGCTTGGAAACGGAGATGAGCACCGCCCCCTAGAGTCGGCTTTCAATCAAGGGAAACCTTTGCCTTTACTTAAATCCATGCTCCCTCTAAGCTGTGGAGTCCTGCAAGCAAAAATTCTACTTTGTGAGCTACTGGCATTAAAGTTGTGAGTGAGCAAGCGATTTGGCTACTGCATAAATTAGTTTGCTCTGGAGCCCTCCTTCCTGAGCTAAGACAAAAATGGGTGAGCCGGAGGTTTGGTGTAGTGGGTTAAGTGCGCGGACTCTCATCTGGGAGAATCGGGTTTGATTCCCCACTCCTCCACTCGCACCTGGCTGGATGACCTTGGGCAAGCCGTAGTTCTGATAAGAGCTGTTCTTGGAAAAGAGCAGTTTCTGTCAGAGCTCTCTCAGCCCCACCTACCTCCCAGGGTGTCTGTTGTGGGGAGGGGAAGGGAATGAAGTTTGTAAGCCGCTCTGAGACTCTTTCAGGTAGTGAAGGGCGGGGTATAAATCCAATCTCTTCTTCTTCCTCCTCTAATCTGGGAGATAGGAAAGGAGTTTGTAAGCCGCTCTGAGACTCCAAGTGAAGGGTGGGGTATAAATCCAATCTCCTCTCCTCTTCTTCCTCCTCTAATCTGGGAGACCCAGGTTTGATTCCCCACTCCTCCACTGGCACCTGGCTGGATGACCTTGGGCAAGCCATAGTTCTGATAAGAGCTGTCCTTGAAAAAATAGCAGTTTCTGTAAGAGCTCTCTCAGCCCCACCTACCTCACAGGGTGTCTGTTGTGGGGAGGGGGAAGGGAAAGGAGTTTGTAAGCCGCTCTGAGACTCCTTTAGGTAGTGAAGGGTGGGATATAAATCCAATCTCTTCTCTTCGAAAAAAACTGTGAGCTAGCTCACACTAACTCAGCTTAGAGGGAACATTGCAGTCAACAAGCAGGTGGGCTGTACTGTTTGGACTCCAACGTATTGGCGGTCGTGCTGAGAGAGGAAATAAGACATTTCCACCCATCCCTACCGACAACCAGTGCTGAAGAGGGGGAAGGCAGAAAGCTCTTCCACGGCGAGACGAGGAATCCAACATCTCTGCCTAAACACCCATTTACCTACCAGAACGGGCAAGTCCGGACAGGACAAGAGCTGCACCAGCCTCGGCAGTATCCCCATATCCACCACGACGTGAATGCGGTCGTTGGTTCCGTCGGTCAGGTAGGAGACAGCCCAGCAGGTGTCTGCGATAATGTCCCTGTCTTCGTGTTGCAGGAGACAGATCAGCGCGGGGAGGATCTGCCTCACGGCTTCCAGAGGCGGCCACGGGTTTTTATTCCGGCAGAGGTTGGACAGCGTCCACGTGACGTTCCTCAGGAACCCCACCTGGAACCAGAACGTGGCAGGACTCTTCAGAGAGGTTTCATCCCATTGGCTGCAAAGCCGGGGGGTGGGCTCTTTCATTATTATTATTATATCATTATTATCATCATTATCATCATCATCATTTGGTCATCCAGCCACACCCACCTATTGCTTCTTATTCTCTTTACCTTGTTTGTTGTCAAAACCCAGGGCTTTTTGCATGTTAGGCCACACACCCCTAATTGTAGCCAATCCTAATGAGTTTCTGCTGTTGAGTGTGGCCTATTATGCTAATGAGTTCCTGCTGGGCGTGGCCAGCTTGGGAGTCAGCCGGAACTCCGTTCCTGTGCGTTCCTGCCCAAAAATAGCTGCTGCTATTATTATTATTATTATTATTATTATTATTATTATTATTATTATTTCCAATACTCCTACAACAGTGTTCGGCAATAAATAGCGATTCAACACTAGATACCATTCAGTGAGGATACAGAAAAGAAGATCACAGGTTTTCATTAGCCAGGTGAGGTAACTAAAATCAAGACGTTCAATAGCCAGGTGAGATAACTAAAATCAAGACGTTCAATACAAACAGGAAATTATGCTTAACGTTAAGGCTATTTCGGATTGTAACATAATCAAATACAGTACCATGCAATCAAAAGAACAGTACATTTCTACAGGCCAGGTTGTTTGGAATTGTTTCGCTATTTTCTAAATAACTGATCGTAGGAAACCAATACTGCCTGGCAATGTTCCCTCTAAACTGTGGAGTTTTGTGAGCAAAAATTCTACTTTGTGAGCTCCTGGCATGAAAGTTGTAAGCGAGCGATTTTGCTACTGCTTCAATTAGTTGGCTCTGGAGCCCCATCCTTCCAGAGCTAAGGCAAAAATGTGTGATCCGGAGGCTAAAAAACTGTGAGCTAGCTCACACTGACTCAGCTTAGAGGGAACACTGCTGCCTGGAACCACTTTTGATATTTTTCTGACAGCAAAGCCAAGGAGTTATATGAAGTACGCCCATAGAGGAAGCAATCCCAGATTCTTTTTTCCCCAATCTGTTAATGTAGGGACATTTTTTTGGCTTCCATTTTTGTGCAATCGTTATTTTTGCTAACATCAATAAGGTAGAAATTAATGTTTCTGTACTTTTGTGACTTACAGATGCACGCCATGTCTCCAAGAGGATAGAGTCCAGATAACTAGGTAAGTTTACATTAGTTATTAATGAAATTTGTTTTAATATCTACCTCCAGTACATTTGAGCTCATTAGCATAACAGGCCACACCCAACAGCAGAGACTCATTAGGATTGGCTACATTAGGGGTGTGTGGCCTAACATGCAAAGGAGTTCCTGCTACAAAAAAAGCCCTGGGTTTTGACAACAAACAAGGTAAAAAGAATAAGAAGCAAAAGGTGGGTGTGGCTGGATGACCACCCTTCTGGTAACATGGGGGTGTGGTCTAATATGCCAATGAGCTGTGCTGTCACGGGTGTGGCCTAATATGCTAATGAGTTTCTGTTGTTGGGTGTGGCCTGTTATGCTAATGAGTTCCTGCTGGGCTTTTTCTACAAAAAGAGCCCTGGATAGGGTATGAACTGAGGGTATGAACTGGGGTTAATCCAACTCTTTCCTCAAGATTTGTGGGAAAGCAAAACATTAGGGGCACTCAAGGGTTCATTTCAAGCTGGAGAGGATGCGGAGGGGGAAGGAACATACATTCATTGTCGGTGGTTTCGCCCAATAGTTCTTACATTTTGGAAAGATATTGCACAACAAATAACATATCACTGGACATACAATTCCTGTTACGACACACCCAATTCTGTTGAACGTTTGGCCTGACTTACACATTCCCGACATACAATTTTTAAAAATTGTCACGCTATTATTGGTAGCTAAAAAAGTAATTGCCTCTCATTGGAAGGCCTCCCAGCCAATGTTCCCTCTAAGCTGTGGTGTCTTGTGAGCAAAAATTCTACTTTGTGAGCTACTGGCATTAAAGGTGTGAGCGAGCGATTTCACTACTGCGTAAATTAGTTTGCTCTGGAGCCCTCCTTCCTGAGCTAAAACAAAAATGTGTGAGCCGGAGGCTAAAAAACTGTGAGCTAGCTCACACTAACTCAGCTTAGAGGGAACACTGCTCCCAGCTACCTGAGGTAAAGGAGCGGTATATATGTCTGTGGGACTACATAACTTTTGACAAAATAGCGGATGTTGAGATGTCAAATGAGTATCCTATGTCGGAGTCAAATTTCCTGAATTAGTGGTACCCGGCATTGGAAAAACTTTTGAAGAAGATGGATTCCCCGTATTCCTTTAGCAATCCCCGCTACTTCAAATTTATCTCATTAACGTCACAATTAAGATTTGTATAAGGTAGTATTGAAGTCAGGTATCAGTCCCCTGGCTGCTTCTACCGTCTGGCCGGTTAATGTACGTAGTGGTGGTCAGTGTTCCCTCTAAGTTGAGTCAGTGTGAGCTAGCTCAGGGGTTTTTTAGCCTCCGGCTCACGCATTTTTGCCTTAGCTCAGGAAGGGATGGCTCCAGAGCAGACTAATCGATGCAGGAGCCAAATGGCACACGCACAACTTTAATGCCAGGAGCTCACAAAGTGGAGCTTTGGTCCATGAGGTCGTGAAGAGTCGGACTCGACTGTGCGACTGAGCAACAACAACAAAACAAACACAAAGTGGAATTTTTGCTCACAAGACTCCACAGCTCAGAGGGTGCGTCGGTGGTGGTAGAGGCCAGTGCCATCAAGTTGCAACCAGCTTACAGTGACCCCCGTAGGGTTCTCAAGGCAAGAGACGTTCAGAGGTGGTCGGCCATGGCCTGCCTCTGCGTAGCCACCCTGGACTTCCGTGGTGGTTTTCCATCCAAGGACTAACCAGGGCCGACCATGCTTAGCTTCCGAGATCGGATGAGATCGGGCTAGCCTGGGTACATTCAGGCCAGGGCATTTAGAGACTCACAAGTCAAAAGGTAGAGTCGGCTTGTAGAGTTAGAGGGAAGAACTGGATGTCCCAGTTCAAGATGGGAGCTTAGCTGCCGTTCACCCAACAAGGCGGGAAGCTTACTCACAGGGGTAGTTGGTGCCACCAGAGCCAGAAGAGGTGGGATGACGTTCTGCTGGATGAGAGAATCTCTGTACATGGGGCCGTCGCCTGCAGGTAAGAGCAGCGGTCAAGAGGATCACTCGCCAATAAGCGTTCTGTTACCCCTGAAGATGGTAGATACTGACTTGAGTTACAAACAGGGGTCATTTCCGGCGAGAGCGCACAGGAGCGGAGCTCCGGCAGTAAAGAGCCCAGGGGCGGGCACATGCAACAAGCCCCACCCCCTGCTCCCAGCAGCCCTCAGTCAGAGCAAGAAGCAGCCAGGTAAGTTGCAGAGCTCCCCCCGGTTCAAAACAGTCCAGTGGCACTTTTAAGACCAAGTTTTATTCAGGTACAAGCTCTCCCTCCTCTACGAGGA